CTTAACGACTGAGCCACCCAGGCGCCCCAAAACTCTTGTTGTTCTAAGGCACCCCATATTTATGTTACGATTACATATGTGAAATACTGCTATACTTACGTTTATGTCTGTTAAGTATCTGACCTTCCTTGTCTTCAAAAGATCTAATTCAAAATTTCACACTAGATCCTAGCTTTATGGCTTCTTCTTGGGGCTAAGGGACAGGCCATTTTCTTCTTACGCCACTAGAGGGCAGGCTCTCTCCATGCGAGGAGTGAGGGAGCGCGAGCACACAGCTTTCACCGCGACTGGGTGAATCTCGGGCCAGAGCCACCTTCCTTCCTGATGCCCCCCTGGCGCCGGGGACCTCGGCAGCGACGGCTTTGCTGAAACAATAGCCCTTCACCTGTTCGTATTCCTTTCACTTTGAAACTACCTTACTGGACTAGAAGTAGTTCAAATAAAGTAACAGGTACGAATGTCATATAAATAAGAACTCAATGCTGAGAGTAGTTATCATTATTGTTTTATATTTATTATTTACATATTAGTTTTCTTTTTTTTTTTTTTTTAAGATTTTATTTATTTATTTGACAGAGAGAGAGAGCACAAGTAGGGGGAGCAGCAGGCCGAGGGAGAGGGAGAAGCAGGCTCCTTGCTGAGCGGGGAGCCTGATGTGGGGCTCGATCCCAGGACGCTGGGATCATGACCTGAGCCGAAGGCAGACGCTTAACAACTGAGCCACCCAGGCGCCCCTACATATTAGTTTTCTATCTTATATAATATGAAGTATTAATCATCATTAATTTGTTAATCCTAGTATGGAACTTTGCATTTGAAAAGAGCACAGAAAGCCTTTCCTGAGACATACCCTCTTTTCCTTGGTGCTTTTTTTTTTTTTGAAACGAGAGAGGTCATTTTTTTTTAAAGATTATTTATTTATTTGAGAGAGAGAGTGAGAGACAGAGATAGCGAGAGAGAGCACAAGTGGGGAGGACAGGGAGAAGCGGTTCCCCGCTGAGCAAGGAGCCCGATGTGGGGCTTAATCCCAGGACCTGCAGCAGGGAGCCAACCCGAAGGCAGCAGCTTAACCGACTGAGCCACCCAGGCGCCCTGGTGCTTTTCACTCATAATTATTTGCTAACTCAGATCTGGTGCCAACAGGCTGGAATGCCAACATACCATGTACAATTTACTAGTCTCTTCTGAGCACATCAAACTGCAGATGATGTAAAACTACCTGAGAACCCTCTCTTTTGTGTATGCTGCTCTTATTTTTTTTTTTGAGACTTGATTCTCTGCCTTGCAGATCAGGTTCTAGATTAGAGTACGAACCACTAGAGAGCAGAAAATGTTGGATTTCTATAGATAGGTGTCCTGTGATTTGGGAGAATGGGATGAGGTGTCCCAAGGAGATGTAATGGGGAAAATTATTATACCCACATAATCAGTACCACTGTAATCATTACAGATACAGAAAAGATCTATTACATGTTGGTGAACATCTTAAAAGAAGTGCTTCTATTATCACAGCGTAGTGAACTGCTCCTTAGATTGGAGTGTTGAGAACTTCAGCCCATCATCTTGATTCAGTTACACTAATCCCAAATGTAAATAGACAAATGGATTATTTTGATTGTGTCTGAAGTGTTAAACACAAGAGAAATGACATTTGGCACAATTCACATTCAAATTATTAAAACACAGACCTACCTGATTTTAAAGTCGGGCATGCATGTGTGCACGCACGCGCACACACACACACACACACACACACACAAACAGTTATCCTTGTGTAATGGACCTGTTGATTCTTAATCACTGTGAATTCACATCATGCATGGTATAGCAGCAAGAAATGGTGTGGGCTCTCCCTGGTCACCACTAGAACTGCATTTGATTTTGCAGGTCAGAAGGCACTAGAAAAACATGTGTTTCAGCACCTGGTTTGCCAATGAACATATACAAGGCTGAGGAAGCTTTTTTAAGCTGGTATCATGCACTCACCATAATGCAGCCAATTGTTTGTCCTCTGGTGTGGCATTGGGGCCTGAATGGGTTTTTAGTCTCATAGCATACCTAGGGGGAAAAGAAAAAGAAAAACCAAAGAAATTTAAAAAAAAGCTTTCTTATTAACAATAGAACATTTTTTATGATTGAATTTCTCTTTGCCCAATACTTAGTTTTTCATAGCACTTCCTGTTCTTTCCCGCTTTCTTTCCTTCCTTTTTCCTTCCTTCCTTCCTTCCTTCCTTCCTCTCTTTCTTTCCTTCCTTCCTTTTTATCTAGAGAAGGAGGGGGGAGGGGGAGAGGGAGAGAGAGAGAGAATCTCAAGCAGACTCCCGGCTGAGCACGGAGCCTGACATGGGGCTTGATCTCACGACCCTGAGATCATGACCTGAGCTGAAATCAAGACTCGGATGCCCAACTGAGCCATCCAGGTGCCTCATCTGTTAATTCTTTCTTTTTAATTTTTTAAAATTAAAAAATTTATTTTTTATTAACATATAGTGTATTATTTGTTTCAGGGTGTTAATTCTTTCTTAAAAGCTAGCTGATGTTTGCCCCGTTTTCCCTAAGCATTATACTACTACGACAACTAGAACAAAATGACTTTTATGACCGTCTAGCTACTTTCTGCTCCTTAACAATACAAGTTCAAATGCTACAGATGGTTGAGAGTGATACCAGTTCAAGCATTATCCAGGTATATGGTGACACATCCATTTTTACTAATTTGGATTCATGGCTGAGTGGCTGACAAGATGGAGTGAAGCTCAATCCTTCTAACCCGGTCTCCAGGAAAATGTTCTACTCCCTGTACTCAAATGAATGCTTGGATTTACCCCTTCTTCTTATTCTTACTTTGATGGCTGTATACATGTCCCAGGTGCACAACTAGGGGCTTTTATGAACTTCATTTAATCCCACTTACCTCTCTAAACTAAGGGGACAATGGCCATTCCATTCTCCCAATAATATACCAAGTTACTTGCAGACTTTTTGAGAGAGCTTAGACAGTAGTTGAATGGTCGGAAAGTCCTGGGTTCAAATCTGATTCAGCCTCAATTTTCTTATCGATAAAACAAGACTAATACTGCTGATCACATAGCACTGTTGTAAGGAGAGTATTGGTAAAGGTCATGGTAAATGCTCAAGAAATGATACTGTTATCATATTAGCTCCACACCATGCAGATCTGTAGTCTCTTTGAATATATCTCCGTGCACAGTTTTCCTAGTGGGTGCTCTGGGTATTTACAAATGCGTACGTGCCTTACTACAATTCACTGGTGTTAACATGTTCCACTTGGAGTGAAGCGTGGAGACTTTATTTCCATTTAGGTCTCTTTACTTTACTTACTTTTAAATAACATTGTCTTGAGTGTCAGCTGGTGGCATAATTTTTGTTTTAATCACTGAATATAGGATTTGTAAAACCCATGAGGAGGATAGTTTATCATACGAATCCATATCTCTGTTCTTCTGTTGTTCTTCCTTCCTTTCTGATGCTCCAAGATTCCTTCATTTGTCATCTCCTTTCAGTCTGAGGAACTTCCTTTGGCCAATCTTGATAGGTTAAAAACAAATACTTCATTTTTCTTAGTTGGAGAATATTTTTATTTCCTCTTCATTCCTGTATAATGAAGTTTCACTGAATCTAAAATTCACAGTTTGACGGGTTTTTTTCTTTCAGCACTTGAAAAATGTCATGCCACTCTCTTCTTTCCTCCATGGTTTCAGATGAGAAGTCTGCTGTCATATTACCTCCCTGACAGGTAATGTGTCATTTCTCTCCCACTATCTTCAGGACTTTTTGGTTGTTGTTTTTAGTTTCCGAAACATAGTTATGATGTGTCTTTGCATGCATTTCTTTGGGTTTATCCTGCTTGGGTTTTTCTCAGCTTCTTATACCTGTAGGTTTATGTCTTTTGCCAAACTTGCAAGTTTCAGCCATTACTTCTTCAAATACTCTTTGAGTCCCACTTGCTTCCTCTCCCGAGACTCCAGTGATATACATGTTGGATCTTTTGTCACTGTGCTTGAGGCTCTATCCATTTTTTTTTTTCCAGTGTATTTTCTTTTTGTTGCGCAGATTGGGTAAATTCTATTTTCTGTCCTCAACTTCACTGAGTCTATTCTCTGTCATTTTGTTGGGGAAGGTCTTCAAAAAGCCGTGACTGTCAGTTGACCTGGACCCTGTGAGCTGGGCCCGGGTGATTAGAGGCTCCTCACATCCTCCCTTGCTTTGAAATGTGGGTTCCACTTGCCTTTCGGCTCCCAGAGGCTGCTCCAAGGGCACAGCCTTGAGATAGTGATATGGTATTGAGAACTATCTGCACAGTATACTTGGATGAACCCAGTTAAGGCCTCCATATAAACTTTAAGATTTGGTGGGCAAGTGCAGGGATCCATTCATCTTGTGGCCACCCAAGTAAGTTCTCTTAGCCTATTCAACCAACCTGGAGTGGTCTGCCCCTTTCCCCCTGTGTCTCCCTACCCCCCATGTATAGGGGGGTGGTTTCAGATTACACCCGGGAAGCTCCTGACAGGGTTATGCACCAACACATCTCCACTTTACTATTGAGCCCAACCAGTGAGATTTTTGTTTCTGTTATATTTTTCATTTCTGTAATTTACATTTGGTTCTTTTTAAAAAATAACATATTCTTAATCTCAGGAAACAAACTAAGGGTTGCTGGAGTGGTGGGGGGTGGGAGGGATGGGGTGGCTGGGTGACAGACACTGGGGAGGGTATGTGCTATGGTGAGTGCTGTGAATTGTGCAAGACTGTTGAATCACAG